AAAGAGCCAATAAGTCTAGCTGTCTTTTTCTTAAAAGATCCACTGGGTGTATTTTATGCTTTTAGATACATACAGGAAGCATAGCTACTAGTACTTTAAATAGAAGCCTCCTGAATACACAACTGGGTTGTTTCCCCCCCGTTTTGGATGCTTGTTGTGTGCTAAATGCCGATTAATTATTCAAAGCACTTCTTGAAAGTCTCACACCTGGGAGAGGATGCAATTATCTGTACTTCCTTTCACATTTGTTTGCTTGCTCACTTCTTACCGTCTCCTCCCTCCACTTTCTCGACTGCCTTTCCCAGGACTCGAAAGGGACAAGTTTGACAACAAGACAGTGTCCTTTGAGGAGCATATTAAATACGAGCACAACATGTGGAACTACTTGTACTTCATAGTGCTGGTGCGAGTGAAGAACAAGACAGACTACACGGGGCCAGAGAGTTACGTGGCGCAGATGATAAAGGTACATGTCCTCTCCGGGCAGCTCCTTCACTATTGCAACCTGCCTACCTCCGGGAAATATTTGAGAACAATGGGCTTGCCAAAGAAAAACAGTTTTGAGAAGGAGCTTTTGGAAAATATTTAATAATGTTGTTCTGCCTTCGTTCGTTCTTAGCTGGTTATTTCTGCTTTGCAATCTCAGCCAACACCGCATTGTCTATTTGATGTTTTGTACTGTGTACTTAAGGACTGAATGAAGGGCAGAACCAAGCAGTAGAGAGTGTGACTTTGAGGTGATTTCAAGGCAAGAAGGGAGGGAAAGGAAACTTACTTAGAAAAGCAAAGCTTCTGGACTTGAGCCCAGAATGCTGTAAGAAAAAAAAGCTAGAAATGGACCATTTGTGGAAAATTTGCAAAGATCTACAGGCAAGACAAGCCTTTGAGAATTTGTTTAATCCCTAAGCACACGCAGGCTTCCTGTTAAATCCTACCAAGTCTCCTCCCTCCTCCTCACCCCTTCTCCAACTCCCATTCTCCATGGTCACCTTCCCAGAACAAGAACCTTGACTGGTTCCCCCGGATGCGAGCCATGTCACTGGTCAGCAACGAAGGGGAAGGGGAACAGAATGAGATCCGAAATCTTCAAGACAAACTCAACACCACGATGAAGCTGGTGTCTCATCTCACCTCCCAGCTGAACGAGCTGAAGGAACAGGTACTAAACCCTTTTAAAAATAGGAACACTTGAGGAACCCCTGACTGTAGAAACCCGCCATCCTTACCAAAATAGACACTGATTGCAAGGAACAGGAGGCAGAACCAGCCCAAGCCAGTACAACTTCAGATACGAAGCTAAGGGCTCCCGCAGCTCTTTTTAGGGGGGTCAGGGACATTTGGGACATGTGCTTTTTGATACTTGCTCATCAGCAAGAGTCCAACTCACAGGGTTTTCTGGCAGATGCTTAAAGCAGCCTAGTCAGTCACACACTTGAGGAGCATATTAGCGAACAGAAAGAAGGCTTGGTTTCCTACCTCACTCGTGTCCTTGTTTGAACTCTAGATGACAGAGCAACGGAAGCGCAGGCAAAGGATGGGGTTTGTGGATGTCCAGAATACCATGAACCACTAAGACACAGAAGAAGCATCAGCTTCACCCACCGAGGGACTACACCTATGTATCAGCTAACGAGGCTGCTTATTCCTGGGTTCCACGCGTGGACATCACTGTCACAGACAGACGGATCATGCTGAAGGGCTTCGCAGTCAACATTTTCCTTAGAGCGCTCGCAAGCAATTCAGGAGCCAGGGACTGGCCAGGATTCCTCACAACGCCTGGACCCACACGTTACTCTAATGCCCTTGTAGGAAGATAAATTATACAGGACTTCTATTCCTCATTGCAATAACTCTTTATTTTGCAAATGTGGAGGGTTGTATCTTTATCTCCATGCGCTACATTCTGATGGCCTGCACCTCAGGTGTAGCGTAACTAGCTGTAGGGCTGCAATATTTAACTTATTCCAAGAGTGGCACTAGTACACGTGGATCTTTGCAAGCCAGCCATCGTATTTGCTGTACCTGCTCCATGCTGATCCCTCTCCATTTAAAGAATTCTGTTCATCACTGTGGTGCAGTAAAGAGGAGCTAAACTCAAGGAGATGGATTTGTTAATTTAACTCACCAGATGAGGATGAGTATCCAGGCTTGTACTAGTGTGAACTAGTCATTTGCCTTCTGTGGACCAAGAATATCTGGGCAGTAGTAGTAGTAGAAGACTGCAGGTTTACAGGAGTTCACTGTGAAGGGGTGTCCTGTGTTTTAGTTTCATCTCTGGTATAATGTTTTACTTTTTTTGGTTTTGTTTTTGTTATTGTCGTTACTTAAGAACCAGAGTGTAAATTGCCTTAACTAAATTAAATACAAAATCATGTTATAATAAAAACTTAAACGTGGTAAAACTTAAACCTTCCTGTGCAGTCTGGTATGTAATGGGGCTGTTACAAATAAAAATACAGAACAATCCAAGGACCTAAAGCCAAACCAGGGCTGTATTACCCAATTACCCTCCAGAACCCAATGCTCTCAGCTCCAGATGTTAAATGTTAAAATCTAGTACAATGCTCCCGACAGAAGATGAAAAAGAATGCTACCATGAAGAACTACCTTGAACACCAGCCTTGTTTTCTGAAGCTTTGGATTAGGGCCTGCTGCAAAGTTTCAAATTCTTTCACTACTTGCCAGGAAAACACTGTTCAAATACATAAAAAGGAGCAGCTGTTGGTGCTGCCTGGAGCCAAGCAGAGTCCTGGCATAGCTGTGTTCTAGACACTCCTCCTTCCCAAGCCAAGCAATGCTGTAGCCACCCCAACTACAGTCCTGTGCCTCTGCCTCCCAAGAATAGACACTGATGCAAGCATTAAAGCTTTAAAAAGGAATAAAAATAGGCCATAGCAATGGACTAATCACACTTGAAATTTCTTTATGGCCCTGTATACCAACATGTCATTAAAACCTACCTTTATCCCTCAGATATGCAGTAACCCATTCAGAACCTTCTCTTCACGCTGAGGGAAATCTGCATATAGCTAGCTTGACCAGCAACACACCGCTGCAGCCTTTGATTGAAATCTCAGTTAGACCCTTACACCGCTCCACTGTCACCATGGTAAACAGTCACCCTCAGTCCTCTCCTGTGTCTTCTCAAAAGGAAAATAAATGTGACAATTAAAGTTATCCCTCCCTCAATTTCACCGTTACCAGTGCTAACACATAGAAACACAAGCATAGCTGCTTTTTCACATTATCATCACCATTGTTATCCTCACAAGCAAACTGAAAGCTAACATGGTTGTACCTACTTGCTCTCTGCATCTCCTAGTTGTTCCATTTTCTTTAATACAAAGGATCAGGTCTAACACCACAAAGTTCTTTCCTCTACACTACATTGCTCCAATATGGTTTTAGCACAGATGTGTTAAGCTATGTCCTAGATTTTTCAGGGGAAAAAAAGAGGGGGCACTGAATAAGAAGAGTGTAAGATATCTGAACAATAATGCTGTTGCTAAGAGGAATGAATGGTTTTATTCATCATGGCAACATACAGTGCTCTTAGGAATATATACAGTGGAGAATCTGGGAGTCAGCCTATCACTTTGAGTCCTCTTCAGGTTTCTTGGCATAAAACTTTTCTCGCAGTTTTTTCCATGTCCCTTTTTTCATGTCTTCCATCTGTTTCAGAACGTCTGCAAAAGGATGGGAGAGAGAGAGAGAGAGAGAGAGAAAGAGAGATGAGGAAACGGGAAGAAAAGCAAAAAAGCAAAGGAAGAAAGCCCTCTTGTAACAGCTTTGCCTTACATGTATTTGCCTTTTTTTGACTTTTCATCTTAATGCATTTCTATTTCAGGGCCTGTGGCAAATTTGTTTTCCCCTTCAATTGTGCGGGGAGTCCCTTATCACTAAACTAATATTCAGTTTGCACGCACTACAATCAAAGTTAGGAACTGGAGCAGAACAAAACTGCACCAGCTTCCTACACTGTCCTTAATAAATGATCTGGCTGAGAGTATTTCTGCATCATGGTACCCTCTTTCCTCTGAAGTCTAATACAAAAGAAGAAAGACTGAAGGGAATTTGAACATGGTGAAACATGAGCTGACCTATGTTTTGGAATGACATAGCAAGCGCACATTTCTTTCACATAGCTCCTGTTATCCGATCTCAAAGAGCCCTTGCAAACCCTTTGCTGTTCCTGCCCAGTGCAAAATACAATCAACTTTTCGCCCTGATAGATTACTGAAGATGTCCTCAATTATTCCTGAATTTAATCCTCATTAAACATCCTAATATAGTTGCATGGCAGGCCCATTCTGTCCTTTCGTCACAGGTCTTTAGTAGAAGTGATGCAGTGAACACCACAAAGACTAGAATGTACTTTATCTCCTGCACCGACTTAGTCTCTGATCAAGCACAGTATTAGTACCTGTTGCTAGTATCATCTTGCAATCTTCTACTGTCACTCCAGTGAAGCTTGTGTCTTTCAGGCGTGGATACTTTACAAGCAAGCAAGTAGGTGAGAGAAGGAGAGAGAGAAAAAGATGTTACTTGTAGTGCATTAAAAAGGTTAAAATGTCACCATATGGTAGAGTCCGAGCTCATTTTCAGTCAAGCTCTAAGAATTCTGTTCATCCATGCCAAGAACTATCATCTGCACTGTTCATACATGTCTGCAGCTTTCCTGGAGTGACCAAAGGCACCAGGGTAGTGCTGCATCCACCTCACCACCGCACATCTGTCTGTTTGTTAGACATTCGCAGAAACCCTGCTGGGACGAGGCAGCCAACTGCAGTAGGTGGTGGCTCACCCCCTAAAGAGGGATGATGGCTAATGCCAAAGCTCACCTTGTTTTTGTAGTAGTTGGTGTGGATTCTGACTAAGCTCTCGTACATTCGGTCACAGGTCTCGGGGTCAGCAATCTGGAAAGGGATAAAAGTATCACACAAGCCTTATTTTAAACATCCGTAGCAAAAATCACCTCGTTTCAAGGCTTGTGAGAAGCAGAGTCAAGGAGCAGCTTAGGTGACTTCTCAGTGCAATGTAGGATGCCGGTGACCCCTACTATGCTGCTCCAGAATGCAGGTCATTTTCTTTCCCCTCCACTTCTCACCAGCTTGGCCTACAAGAATAACGAGGCACGTGATTTCCAGAATGGACCTTAAATTCTGCTCGAAAGATCTGACAGATCAACTGTGAATACACAGTTAATGAGAATACTGCTGGACAGTTTTCTCCTCACGTTTATTGGCCACTGCTGTGAAATCTGCGGGATTTCTTGCTCAAAGGCCAGTTTTGCTGCCTGTTTTATTCTAAAGCATCAAATAGGATAACATACTAGGATGGAAGTTGGAAAATCCCGGAGCAGGTTAAAAATAGTTCATAATTGAATAGGGAAGAGCAGCATGAAAGACACTGACCAGCTTATGAAGGGTAAATGGATTTCTATTTTGGTCTAGTAAGTTGGAAAGATCTTGCTAATACCTAAACCTCTGCTAGGTTCGTCGGACAGGTGCATCTGCCTTGCAGAGCCATCTATTTAGCAGCGTGATGGCACATCATCTTGTTTTTCTGTTTTACAATGGGGGCCAACTCGACCAGAACGCTGCATTGCTGCTCGATGACATCAAGCATAAATGATCAAAACGGATACATGAATAAGAATAGTATCAACAGAAACATGTCAGGATAAAATGACATGGCTCATCTGTCCTTGGGACATCGGCACAGGTTCAGCACAAGGTGAGTAATGCCTCCTCTGCACAAACCAGGAAAACTAAGGCAAGGCTGTCCTTACTCAGTAGGTAACGGCTGCTGCAGGAGAGAGGATACAGGGACAGACTGTCAAGAATAAGCACCGTCACACTGCAGGTGATCTTCAGCTTAACGTATCTTTTAGTCACTTTTCAAATGATCCTGCTAATGTTTTAGTAATGATAGCAGAAATAGCTATTAAATGAGTAGCAGAAACAGTATTCTTCCCCCCCCTCCCCCCATAAAATCAGCAAATCTTATTCCATGTGAATAAAACAGACATTAGACTGATAAAGCATCCTTTACGGTTCTAGTTCTTTTCTCAGACATTCCTCCTGCTGTCTGCCAGTACATTTCCCTTTACTGTATTAAGCCTTCATACATACAAATTGACATCAGCGCTGCAGGCATCAATTTAGATTTTCAAGATGAGTGGCAGCTTTGGGATCTTGCAGCCAATTGGTGCAGCATATTCAGCTGTCCTGAGCATATGAAAAAGCAATAAGCGCTTTCCGAAATGTCTGCTGCAGACTATTCTGGTGACCAATACAGAATTAGGTGCCTATAATGGCCCCTTGAAGTAGAAAACACTTATCTCGAACAATCTTTTTATGCTAAGAAAGGGCACATTTACATTCCACAGCAACACCTCCAAGCCTGTAAAGGTCTGCAGCCCAAGTCAAGCATTAGCTTCTCTAATTTATTTCAGCACCAAAGCCTAAACTCCAACACAACTGCGGCCGGAATCCAGTTTTATAACCGCTGCAGTCTAACAGTGTCAGGCAACGTTGCACTTCACTATGTACTCCACGCTGCAATACACTACCATCCTATCATCACGGTAAGCAAAACACGCCAATTAACTCAATTCCAGCACGGCACTGACAAATTCACAGTGCTTTGTATCCCACTTCCATAACCACGGGAATGGGGCTCTCCAAAGCACACAGTGTGAACGGTGCAGGAGCTGGGTATAAACCACAGCTTGTCCTACGCGAGGAACAAGCGACGTGGCTGGCTTCGGCCTGAGGTTCAAAGGGGAGCAGAGCGCTCACACGCCGGGCTGTCCCGGGCCCCGAGGGAAGCTCTGCGGGGCCCTGAGGAGAGCGGAGGGCAGCTCGGTTCACACCCTTCCCCTCAACTGCAACCGAGCGACCTCCGGGGCGAGAGCACCACGAGAAAACCCCCGTGTCAGCACCAAACTCCTCAGGTTTACACC